ACGTGCTTAAGGATTTGCTTTACTCATTTTCGAAGTAAGACCAAAATTTCAAAGGCACTTTGTATTACGTTTTTAAAAAGAAAATTTATAAATATGAAATTATTTGTGTTTATTTATTTTTTAGTCTTTTCGAATATAATTAAGTTTTAGCTAACAGTCTTTAATATCTTTACTATTACTATTTTATCTACTTATAAATTATACAATAAATTACCAAAAATAAAAACCAATTGTTTCCCAACAGGAAACATTTTATGAGATCAAAACTTTCTTTCAATTTAAGAATATTTAAAAAAAAATCAAAATTCTTTGGCTCTTTTTTAAACATTGTTATCCCAGCTTTGACCCCCCGGTAAATAATCGCTCAATGGTTAAACCGAAAATGATTTGGCAGATTATAATAAGCAGCTAAACCTTTTAAGCTTTTCTCTTCTCTCTCCATTTTTCAGCCACAAAACTTTTTCTATGAGATGAAAACAAATTCCATTTTACTTTGTGCTCCCCAGATCCCAGTCCCTCCTACCAATTCAATTCAAACCGAGGCGGTTTTTCTCAGACCTCCGAAAGGTGCTGCCCTTGGCCAGCTAAATTTTCTAAATAATTTCACAGCGCCTTATTACGGAGGCCATTTGTTGGCCTCGGCTCCTTGGGGCCACGGCAGGGAGGGAATCATGTAACAGGTTGCCAGCCCATCACACAGGAGATTAGGCAGTCGGAGAGGCCGGAAGGCGGACTGGGTAGAACTGGGAGGAGTAACAGCTGCTACCTGTGAGCGAAGAGTGGCTTACCCTTTTTTCTGCCTCTTGACGGGAAAAGCTGCAGGAGAGGCCTCGATTTTTAAGCCATGTCAGCCAGGCAGGAAGGACAAAACTAAGCCCTTGGCAGGGCCCTGCCAGCTGGCTTTGCCCCACCCATACTAGGTACACTGAGGCAAATATTATAAATAAATTATATAATTTCGAAATGTATAAAACAAATAAAACACTTGTTTCCAGGACTATTGGGAAAACTGTCAAACAATTGTAGTTTTAAATATTGCTTAAGCATTCATGACCAAGATTTCCTTTTAAATATATTTTTATTCCTAGTGTTTTCCTTCTCGCCGCTCTGAGGGCTGCTTTTGTACTTTGGAAAAAAGCAAATATTTGTATTTCTGCTTGAATGGCTGAACGATTGAACTGAGAGCGAAATTTGAACTGTAGCAAATCACACGCGTTTGATTGATGATTTGGCAGCAGCGTGGGGGGGCGTTGGTATAAACCAAACAGCATGAAAAAAAAAGAAATACAGAAGATCCGGAATAAAAACGTAGAAAAGGTTGCTACTCAGCTGAATGGGCGTGCACATGCCGTGCCTGCCTCTGTGTATCTTTAATATTTGTACGGGAAAGGGAAAAATAAAGCGAAATTCCAGGGAGCTCTGGGCTTAGTTTTGTTTTGCCTTCTTTATGGCCTACACATAACTCACATTAATATGCAATGCTGATAAGGCGACCCCGGCCGCCCATCGCAACGCCCTGTTTTTGGGATTCAGTTCCCTATTTCCTCTCCGCCTCCCTCCCACATAATCAAACAAAAGCAATAAATCAACGCAAACGAAATGAATTTTGATTGTCATTGATTTATGTGCACTGCAGTTGAGGCCCACCCGAGTCCCGGCTCTCCTGTCCATCCTGTGCCCACACGCATAATGGCAGCGATAATGATGACAGGCGGAAGACGAAGGAAACGGTCCCAAAAAGTTAAGGGACAGACAATGCTATCTACCAGCGCTGGGGCATAAAATTGTAGCAATTCAATTAACTGTCATCAAATGACAATTACAAATGAAGACGGCCAAGGGTGGCAGGTGTTCCGGAAAATATAATCACAAGGGAATACGATTTGATTTGAAAAACAAAATTGCTCTAAGTAATTGAATTAGAAAATTGAAAAACAAAAATCTATTGAGTGGCTCTAACAATATAAATAAATAAAATCAAGCTTACCTTTAAAATTCCTTGTGGGAAAAAATACATAATTAAATTTTACACGTTTATGTAACTAGTTTGCTTAAAACTAAAAACGTGTCTCATTCCTATGTTTCTATACAAAAAATCAAGTCCCTAAGGGTGAATTAAAATAGATAACAACGAGAATTTTAAATTTAAGCTAATATTAAGGGAACACTTTGAAGGAGCATTCTCCCCTTTTAATTCTTAACCCGCAAGCTCTTAACGCTAATGTAGCCATTTTCATAAAATTTGAGTTCAATTCAAGGGTCAGACAAACAAAAAACGATGCCTCCCATTAGGCCTAGTTACTTGGCCATAAACTTTGTGCCCCAGCTAATTGTTAAAAGTTTCAATTACCCCAAAAAAGGAGTACGAAATTCCCCCCTGGATGTCAGTCAGTGCGTCAGTTTGTCGAGCTGGGAAAAGTACAAATTACATTTCAAAAGTAGTTGGCAAGTCGTCGGCTTTGCAGCTGCTTTTGTTTCACTGTCCTACGTGACTCAGCCATAAATTAGTAGAGGCCAGGGGCAAAGGGAGAAGGCAGGATGTAGGGGGATTGGAGGTCCTTCGGCATACGCTTTAAGTGCGCCTTGAACTTTGCGGCAGAAGCGAGCTCTCGAGAGCCTATTTGCGATGATTACACGGCGTATGAGTGATTTTAATTTAACGCAGAGATAAACACACGAATGCCCATATACGAACGACCGAGCTCTCCCGATTCGAGCCCTTGTAAGTACCAAAACATGCCGTGTTCGTGCCGTTCCGTGGCTGCTTTAAGTAGTTATGCAAATATTAAGCGCACAGCCGCCTTTTGACCTGAAAAGTCAATACGAAAAACTCACACGGCCACAGCAATGAGCACGGCCACTACTGACACAGGCGCATTGGAAAAATCCACCCCACATATGTGAATGTATGCATATACGTGTACTTACTCGTACCCAAACTCGAGAACTTTTCTCGGGGGAAAGTCGGTGGCGAAAGCTGTTTTCGCTGGCCTGATAACCGACACTGAGGCACCACAGCCAGTCCGATTGCAAATGTCAAGAGCGGAGATTTTTGAAGGATCCCAATGCAAAAGTTGGTCTAAAAGTTCGGGAAACCTCTTCAATTTAAACAAACACGAAACAAAAAAAAAGAAAAGGGAGGACTAAATATTTTATTCAGTTCAAGGTTGCTTTGTTATATAAATTGATTATTATAATATTTCTTTGAAAAATATATAAAATAAAAGTAAAATTTGGAATATATGAAATTGATTTAATTATGTTATTTAGCCCTTATTTAGTATCTACATATTTTTTCTACTTATAAATATCTTGATTCTTTTTGTAACTTAAAAGTTTATACATACTCACCTTCTTTTCGATGCTGCCACATTTGCTGGGTGCACCGCTGACCGACAGAAAAACAAAAAACGAAACGGGAATTATGGGCGGAGAAATCGAATTCCGAGAGTGTAAACTTAATTAAGAGCCTGCAAGGAGAGTTGATTTTGTTTGATTTACACGCCAGCAGCTGCACGCTTTAATTATATAGACGTGGGGGTCGGTCGTCGGTTCGGTGGGTCGGTGGGTCGAGCTGGGTCAGGGCCCCCGACCGAGAGCCATTCGAGTAGCCAGCTGTCGCTGATTGCCCACCAGGAAATGACCCACCGAAAAAAAGCTGTGCGGAGGAAAAAGGATCCAGTTCCAGGCCCTGGCATTTCATGGCTCATTAGGCATGCACATACGTTTGCTCCTGTTGGGTTTCGGATTGGGACTCGCATTCGAGCTGCTTCTGCTCTGCCCGCGTTCTCCTCCTCTGCCAAATCGTAACAAATTCAATTTTCTACGACGCCGATTTGGTTTCCGCACGTCTTAAGCTATCGTCGGCTACAGTCTACGCCATGAATATAGTTATTGGCTGCAAGTGTTTGTCTAGATGTCTGCCAGCAGCCGCCGGGCCCTGCCCCCCTTTCCTGCCCCAGTCGATACCGATTGCGCAGTAAAATAAATGATAAGAATCTGTGCGCTCTGCTCATGAATTACAAATCGCATAAAGGATTTGCCAGTGGCTCAAGACAGCGGCAAGGACGAGCAGCAGCTCCTTTCCTGCAGCTTGCACTGCCGACTGTTTGTTGGTCCGCAGGATGCGAAAGGGATCAGGACCTGGAAACGCTGGAGGGTTGGGCAAACAGCGCACAGCACGCCGAGCATTTTAATGCATTGAGAGGTTGGCCATTCCGGTGGCTCTTCAATGATTAGGAAAAATGCATTAATGTCCTGAAAGAAAATATGCCAGCCTTAGTAAAACAACTGGTTAAAGTTTTCATTTTTCATTCATTCTTTTTTATAAAATGTAGAATTTGTCAGCTTTTTCATTACGTTTAATTATTAATGTCAATTATTTGTTAGGACTAGTCGATTAATAGTTTATTATTGGCTAATGCTTTACACATTTCAGATCGTTTATTTCGCGCTCCCGCGACTATCTCTTAAATGCTTAGTAATACTAATCAATTTTTACATTTGATCGGTTTATTTCCATTACAGTTTTATACAGTGAGTCAAGGAGTTGCCATTCTATATCGTAGAAAAAATTATTATCACCGTTGGTTTTTCTTTGTCGTCGAAACTTGTTTAAGACATTATTTTCATTTTCATTTCTTCTTTTTATTTTCGTTTTTCTTATTATTCTATTTTTCGTTTTGTAGTATGATTTTAGGAAAATATGCCTTTCTAACACCCTAAGTAGACTAGGTTCTTGAAATTTATACAATAGATTATTGTTCTTGGTATTGTTTATTATTGGTATCAATAAATTTTTGCTTAAGGTTTTCCCATTGTAAGGTATTTCATTGGTTTCGAATAAAAAGTGAAAAAGATTACAAGTCAAAAAGGCAAAAAGGCAGGCAGGCGTCTTATTATAGAATATGGAATAGAGAAATAGTTTGGGAGAAAGAGTTAAGAGGAATAATGGGGTCGCAGGGTTTTGTTCACCAATTCCGGTATCTCTCAAACAGCCATTTTTGTGGTGTGGAAAAGATAGAAAAAGCTTTTTATTGCGGCAGTCGTTTTGGTTAGTTGAGTTCCCCACATTCACTATCCTCTATATATGGCAATGTATCATATTTTTTGTGATTTCTCTGTTACAACTATTATGAGCACAATTAATTACGACTTGTGTGTCTGCTTCTGCCTCTGCCTGACAAATTCCTGCTTGCTTATTCAATTAATTTCGTTTTTCTAGCGCTCATAAAATATGCTAAGGCCACATTTAATATATTTATAGTTCTATACCTACTTAATATTCTTGAGCTCAACGGAATATGAGTGGAAGGAAAGCGTGGAACGTGAAATGGGTTTAGTACATCTAATCAGGCTTCAGTTAAGGTAAAGTGAAGTGAGGCAAAAGGCAAACAGAGGATATATAAGACGCTGTAAAAGGGTAATTGAAACGAAATAGCTGCAAACAATGTGGATGGAAAAAGTGTGAACAGAACGGACAGGCTAAGTGAACAAATTGAAATTGGAATACGAAAGGTAAATAAAAGCAAAGGGGAACAGCTCAACAGGAAAAATTGTTAGCAATTCCTAAAGACTTTGGCGAATAGTGAGGCAAGTCACGAAGAGTATTAGTTAGGTGGAAAATATATCTGTAATATATCTAAGTAAAGAGGCAAAGTAATTGTGTTGAATAAGGTTAATATAATTAGTAGGATGTATGCGAAAAATGTAAAAAATATCAAAATGCTTGCTTAACTTTTATTTCAAAGAGCTCATTTGGGGTCAAATTGAATTAGGAAAACTAACCTAAGGCTGTACCAAGTCCGGCATAAGCGTAAAACATGAGCTGGCTAAAAGCTAATCATCGTTAAATATACATATATATACATAGTATACAGAAGCACATTTTTACATATATATTCCGCTCAACTCCTTTTTTTCTGCGGCTCTGTGGCCCCTCTCCCGGTGGCTTGCATTCAAATGACGGCGGCGTCCAGAATCTTGAATCGTGAGCGGAAAAAGTGTCAACACTCATTTTTTTTGGACGTGGAATGGGGAGAGCTTGTTGGATATTCCGAGTGTTCATTATCACGCAACGATGGCGGCCATTGTGGAAGTAGTGGACGATGATGGCGATGATGGGTAGCGCAAAGTGGAGGCAACCTGAGAATGATGCTGATGATGATGATGCTCCTGCTGGTGGGGTGAGTGCGGTGGCTGGTGATGTTGCTGCTGGAAACGGGATTGGGAATGGAAATGGGTGTGGGTGTGGGCGTGGGATTGCGATTGAGGCTGGGAAATGTGATGGACCGGAAAACTCCATAGAGCAAAAGGCATCTGCTGCTGAACCAACAAAAGCAGTTGGCGTAATTTGTTGGTCGTCGTTGTTGCTGCCATCGTTGTATCTTTCGCAGCGACCGCTGTTCCTGCTCCAGTTATTGTCGCCATCGCTGTCACTGCTCTTGTTTCACCTGCAATTCCCATCCCCATGCCCGGGCAGATGACATCCTCGCTCCCATTCCGCCGCCTGGCGCAGCGCATCTGCATCTGCGCCAACTGCAGCTCGCCTCGTCGTCATTCATCCCAGAGGCACTGTTGTTTCTGCCGCACATAATAGGTGAACTGTGTGCACTTGCGGCAGGTCTTGATGCCGCAGCGATAATTCGTCTGCTGTTGCTGGGCCCCGGAGGAGTCCACTCCAGCGGTCCCCTTGCCTTTGCAGTACTTGAGCCCGCAGGGATACCAACCGATGCAGGTCTCCAGGGTGCAGAGACAGGGGGCCCACAGGCTGCTCACCTCGTTGCAGCGCGTCGAGAGCGTGTCCGGGAACTTCTCGGTGGCGGCCTCCAGGCTGGAAATCGATGAGCCTGTGGTCGCCGCCAAACAAGATACAGCAATGAAGGAGAAGCGAAACAATAATGTAAACAGAAAAGTTTGAAAGCGGAAAATACCCCTTTACTTGGACGAACACTCTACATACATCTACCCCCAAAGTTTCGCCTTGTTTTATTATCTTTACGAAGATTACAGGCAAACACATCCGAAACTCAAAACTCTGAACTTGGGAAAAGGCTATAAATATACGAAATTTTTCTTTCAATCCCTGTTTTGTTTACACTTCAGGAAACTAAATTAAATTGATTGATTTTGACTCTCTACTATACGAAACTAAATTTATTTGGCTTCTTAAAAATATACAAGGCAATCCTTTCTATATTCTTTACTTTCATATTTTACCCCATATTGTATGTATATAATTTGTGCTGCCTTGTTTGCTGGGTTACAATGTTATTCCCTCTACCTGTCGCTTGTTTCCCCCTATTTTTCGTGTATATCGTGCTTTAATACAACTTGACCTAATTTTTGGCATACACGCAAATATAATCTGATAAGTCGACTGTAAATAGTCATAGAGTTTTGCAAGTACTATATTAAAACCGAATTACAATCGTATAAGAAGTAACGCGATTTCTATGTTTTGTTTCAATTAATTCCGAAAATAGGGAAACCGCCAAGTTCGCGATTTCAGCCTACACGATTTACTATTATTTAATGCATTTGTAGTTTTAAAATTGTAGTTATATATATACTATAAACTCTTAAAAGTTCCCTAAATCAATTACTAATAAATAATCCCCGTTAATACGTAAAAATTCGCACTCACCTGACAGATCTGCCCATGACTTTAGATCCACGTCCCTCACGTAGGTAGCGTCCATTGCCTCCGAGCAGAGGCCCTGCAGGTGGCGCGTGATGGGCAGGGATCGGTTCAACTGTACCCAGCTGCTCATCGTGTAGGTCTCGCGACCCTTATCCTCCTCGGGAGTGCGGATGGTATGCGGATTCTTTTGGCGCAGCTTGGCCATTGCCGCTGAGGATATGAAGTCGCCCTTGTTGAACTTGGTGGCGAAGCACATGACCTGGTACTGGCTCTGGCCGCGCTCCTCCTCGCCCAGCACCAAGGCCTTGAGGATTTGAACCTCCTGGCCGGGGAAAATGAGAAATATTCACGTTTTAATTTTAAATTCCTCTTTCGCGGGTTCAGTTTTCTTAACTCACATTGCGAAAGTCAATGACCTGGGTGATGAGCGTGCCGTCAGTCTTCTGAAATTCCAGCGTTATCAGGTCCTCGCCAATGTTGGAGGTAATACTCTCCTGGATCACCTCGCCGCCCTGCAAACAATCGGATTAGGGAGCAACAAGTGTTAGAGGATGTTAAATTACTTTTTCAGCATTTTCCCCCACCATCTAAAATATTAATAAAGCGCCAAGGCAGTCACGAGCTTGGGGGTATGGAATCCCTGTGTTGTCAGGACTTGAATTAACTATGACAGGTCCTGAAGCTGGGCGGCCATGAACCAAATTAGAGTCAAGAGAGTTGAAAAATAGAAAAAGGAAAAAACACACGAGTGGGGACGGAGAACGAAAACGAAACGAAACGGAGATGAGCTTTGGCAAGCAGCTGGATGAGAGGAACTCAGCCTCGTCACCCCACCACAACATCTCGAAATGTAGTTCAACAACAGCAAAATTTGCCCTTTACACGTGTACACGAGCAAATATGTTGGCAGTGGGTGTTATTGTGGAGATATTCTTTTCGAGGGTAGTATAATTTAGATAAGTAGTGTGTATGCTGCTTTGAATGTATGCTTACTTGAATAGAAACACAGTTTAGGACAAAATATTTGTATTATTTTGAATAAGAATTGTAAATTAAGACATGAATCCGTTATCGAAATTCTGATATATTTAAGTGTTAAGTCCCTTAACATGTTCTTTAACAAGAAAGAAATCTAACTTTAGAAAGCCGAGGTATACATACTCTTGCGGTTTGCAATTGCATTAATGGATTAAGATAATTAAAGGGTCTGAAATAACACACTTCGATGGAAGCTTCTAACTAAACTAACATAATACCTTGCAAATGTGTAGCTAAATGTTGAGGTAAACTCAAATATTTGCCATACTTAAACTTCATTAAAAGCAGCTTTGGTATATTACTTATGTTTTTTGGCCCTATTTATCGATTAACCTTTCCAATGACTGATCTAAAAGGGTATTTGGCATTTTGCTCCTCCAAAAATACCATATCCTTTATTTTCTCTGTTGTTGTTTTGGTTCTTGTTGCTGCTGCTGGCTTTCCTCCGTGTTTGCACAAAGGGACATGTAAACAAAGAATGACAGGGAGAAGCAAGAGGGAAAGAGGAGAAAGCAGAATGGAGAACGGAAAAGAGAGCAGGGGCAGAGAAGGAAGAGAGCCATCAGGAGGACATTTTGGGGCCAGGGACAAAGTGCAGAACAATGAAGGATGTCACATGTAAACAAATATGCTGCCACTGTGTGGAGGAGAGAAAAGAAAGAGAAGAGGAGGGAGAGCAGTGAGCGTTTCGACTGATGTCAACTTTCATTATAAGCCCAGCGCTGTTTTTGGCCAACTAATCTAAAATTTATGGAAAAGCCGAAAGCAAAGTGTCAATATTGTGACAGTCGGAACAACAAAGTCAACTAATATTGAAGCCGAAAAGTGAAATGTCAGGAAAGTGACATTCCAGAAATGACATTGAACTGCACTGCTTTTAGGGCTATACAAATATTTATACACATTATTAAAATGAATTAATTGTTCCCATTCATATTCTCATGATATCCTTTTAAGGGAAATAGGAATGCCGGCTGTGGCATGCATAAACTTCGACATGGACGAATGGGTTTCTGCAGTCACACAAATGAAATGCCTGCATGCCAACTTTTAGTTTCTTGGAAATCTACGTACGTTATCTGGAATATGCAAAAACTATGTATTTTACTAATATCTTTGAATTCTTTTTAAGCCAAACTAGTCTTTCCTTTTAATAATTAGTGTTTTTCCCCTCTCACTGTTTTTCTTTCTCTCCGTTTTTTGGCTGTTTTGTTTTGCTGCGCTCATTTTCGCAAATCAAATGGGCAACGCTGCTGGCGTCGCTGCGTTTAGTAGCCTTGATTTTCGGGTTTCTTTGTTGTTTTTCTTGATTCGCACCTGATTCTGGACGTTGATGAGCAGCTGGGACCGCACCTGGTCCATGACCATCATATTGCAGACCAGCAGCCACAGAAAGGCGCGACTGTGCTTGAAGAAGTGATTGCGGCTGACGACGCGAGAGCCGCAGCGACGCTTGGCAGCAACAACACCACTGCACTGGTGCTTATGATCATTTGGGGCGCTGTAACACGTATTCCGCCAGCGGATATGGGAAGCGCGGGCCGAGGCGTAAGCGTTCGCGACTCTCGTCGGATTCTCCGGCTCCAGAATCATAGCGCGACGTTTGCGATGCGACACTATAAAGTAAAAAACCGCCGCGCGAACGAACCACTTGCTTTGACTGAAAAAAATGAATGAATGAATGAAACGATTGACGCAAATGGTCTCACCGTTTTCCTAATCAGCTGGGCGGTGTGACCGTACCGAAATACCACAGGAGCAGTCTGCCAGTGCTGCCAACTCAGCTATTTTTATAGTATTTTTATACAGATGCGGTGAAAATCGCAATTTATTTGTCTTCGTAAAAATACGTGTGCTGAAAAGGGACAGAAAATACATTAATTTTATGTGTTTGAAATTTTAAGAATATTCCAGTTAGTTGGTATTTTTCCCAGTCCCGTTTTGGATTTTTTGCAGCAAAAGGTCATACTGTCATCCAGCTGTTTTCTCTACTATGCACTAAAATTGCCCAAACGCGTTGCCTCGTAGTCGCTTGTGACGTGTTGTTTTTTTGTAAACTATGTTTTTCACCTTCTAAACCGGGAATAGTTTGCTGAATATTAACCGAAATCCATCTTATTCGCCGGCCACCACACACACAACACAATGCTGACCCTGCGGGAGCGCCAAATCAGTGAGAAACCGGCGAAGCAATGTCCCTACCGGAAGGAAAAGTTTTAATTAATGGGTTTTCCGACTTGTATTACAGATGCCATTAAGCAGATGCTTAATCTGAACTCGCAGCAGCCGAAGGCTCTGGCTGCGGAGCCCGTGTGGAAGATCCTCATCTACGATCGCGTCGGCCAGGACATTATATCGCCGATTATTTCCATCAAGGAGCTGCGCGAACTGGGCGTGACCCTGCATGTGTGAGTGCCTGGAAGTTATTTCTCTAAAATATCCTTAAGTATACATTGTGTTCATCCGCAGGCAACTCCACTCAGATCGCGACTCCATCCCGGACGTGCCGGCCATCTACTTCTGCCTGCCCACCGACGAGAATCTCGACAGGATCCAGCAGGACTTCTCCAACGGCCTGTACGATGTCTATCACCTGAACTTCCTGGCGCCAATAACACGCAGCAAGATCGAGAATCTGGCAGCTGCCGCCCTGCATGCCGGCTGCGTGGCCAACATTCATCGCGTCTACGACCAGTACGTGAACTTCATCAGCCTGGAGGATGACTTCTTTGTGCTGAAGCACCAGCAGAGCGAGCAGTTGTCCTACTACGCCATCAATCGAGCCAACACCCGCGACGAGGAGATGGAGGCGCTGATGGACTCCATTGTCGACTCTCTGTTCGCCCTGTTTGTGACCCTCGGTAACGTTCCGATCATCCGGTGTCCGCGGAACAGTGCCGCTGAGATGGTTGCTCGCAAGCTGGAGAAGAAGCTGCGCGAGAACCTGTGGGATGCGCGTGCTAATCTGTTCCACATGGATGCCACGCAGGCGGGCGGCGGAGTGTTCAGCTTCCAGCGGCCTGTGCTTCTGCTGCTGGACAGAAACATGGATCTGGCCACGCCGCTGCATCACACATGGTCGTACCAGGCGCTGGTGCACGATGTCCTGGACTTGGGACTGAATTTGGTCTACGTGGAGGATGAAACAGCAAGTGCAGGCAAGTAAATGCGTCATGGCCCTGAAATGGCAGAATGATTCACGATTTATACGTTTTAGGAGCCCGGAAAAAGCCAAAGGCCTGCGATTTGGATCGCAACGATCGCTTCTGGATGACGCACAAGGGCAGTCCGTTCCCCACTGTGGCCGAGGCCATCCAAGAGGAGCTGGAGTCCTATCGCAACTCCGAGGAGGAAATCAAGCGCCTGAAGACCTCGATGGGCATCGAGGGCGAATCGGACATAGCCTTCTCTCTGGTCAACGACACCACTGCCCGGCTGACCAATGCCGTCAATTCACTGCCGCAGCTGATGGAGAAGAAGCGCCTGATCGATATGCACACCAAGATCGCCACTGCTATCCTAAACTACATCAAGGCTCGCCGGCTGGACTCTTACTTCGAGATCGAGGAGAAGGTGATGTCGAAGCAGACGCTGGACAGGCCGCTGCTGGACCTGCTACGGGACGGGGAGTTTGGTCAGGCGGAGGATAAGCTGCGTCTGTACATCATCTACTTTATCTGCGCCCAGCAGTTGCCCGACTCGGAGCAAGAGCGGCTCAAGGAGGCGCTCCAGGCGGCCGGCTGTGATCTGACCGCCCTGGCATATGTGCAGCGCTGGAAGGCGATCATGAACCGATCGCCGGGAATAAGTCAGGCAACCCAGTACGAGGGCGGCGGAACCAAAACCGTGTCCATGTTCACCAAGCTCGTCTCGCAGGGCAGCTCCTTTGTGATGGAGGGCGTCAAGAATCTGGTGGTGAAGCGGCATGTAAGCACTCTTCATTTCGCTATAAAATTACCATTCCGCTTACTGAGATCCTTTCCAGAATCTTCCAGTGACCAAGATCACCGAACAGGTGATGGAGTGTCGCAGCAATGCTGAGACGGATGACTACTTGTATCTGGACCCCAAGCTTCTCAAGGGTGGCGATGTATTGCCCAAGAATAGGGCACCATTCCAGGACGCTGTGGTCTTTATGGTCGGCGGAGGGAACTATATCGAGTACCAGAACCTGGTGGACTTCATCAAGCAGAAGCAGACGTCTAACGTTCAGCGACGCATCATCTACGGCGCCTCCACGCTAACCAATGCGCGGCAGTTCCTCAAGGAGCTCTCAGCCCTGGGCGGCGAGATCCAGTCGCCATCGACGTCGTCGGCGAGTTAGGAGCGACTGCTCCGATTCCATTGCTGCTGAGCGGAGTGGACAGGGACTGGGCTGGGTGCGCATGTGTGTCTGTGTGGCTTCTGTCGTTTACTTTAAGCATATCCAAAAATAAATTAAATGCCAGGCAAAAGAAAAAAAAATGAGAAACAAGCGGACACAAAGGGAGAACTTCAGCACTCGGCAATTACTCCAACCTGACGCTTAATCCCCGAAGGACAACAAGCAAAAACATGCGTTGCCTCGTGTACAACAAGTCCAGGGAGCTGGACCTGGAATGGGAGCTCGCGGCGGCATGGGCAAGGGGCACTCGCATTCTAGGCACCCATTAACACCAACTTGGCAACGCTTTGATGGACAGCTGACAGACAACCAGTCAACGGCTGAGGCGATGATGGCCCCAGCCCGATTCCCGATGCCTTCGGCGGCGATGCCACAATTATGGGGCGACAACTATGCGCGGCACTTGGGGACAGCGACAGAAGCTGGCAGGGCAGAGCCTAGCAATTAGCACTATCCCTGGCCAACTCTATGAATGGACGACAGTCGATGGCTCCGCAGCTCTGGAGCACTCAACTGATATATTTTTTTGTAGAAGCACTCTCAGGCCAGGCTTGGCTGCTGCACTGATTGAATGTCGCCTCTTTGGGAGACGAGCAGGCAGGCAAGTCAATCACAGAAGAGCGTTAAATTATCCCAGGAACCCAGAGTGTTGGCAGAATTACGGCGTTTTTACTTACATATGAATGTACGTAGTTTTTTATGCACTTGCAAGATATTAAAATCTTGGTCAGAAGCTTGCAAAGCAGCGAAGGACTCGTTTCCGACCCCATAAACCATATATATTCTTGATTAGCATTAACAGCCGAGTCTTTTTAGCCATGTTGGTACAAAACATAATTTTTAAAAAAATTTTCAAAATTATGTAAGGGGTTACATCGTCAAAATTGTCAAAAATTGGCAAAAATGTTGATTTCTTAAAATTTTAATTTTAATATGCTGATTACAACCCATTAAAAACAAACACAGCAAAGCTTTCCGAACTGAAATTAATTCATTTTTGGCTTAGTTGTGATCAATTTTTGATCCAATCCATGATGATCCTATAACAAACTGCAAGGGTATACAAATTATAGCTTCCCGAAGTTATAACAAATAACAAATATTTAAAAAATACAAAAGTTAAGAGAAAGTTCCTTGCAAAATACTAGATTTTGTATTTAGGAAATAATAAAATGTCAGAATAGAGAGGCTTATAATTATGGTAAATATTTAAGAGGTTTGAAAATACTTTATTTTAAATATAATTTTGCAAACGTCAACTAAAATCTATTAAACATTATCGAGTAATTCAAATTTCACGAAATTTAAATTTAGCTTCATCGACTTTAGGCGTAAGGTACATCATAATTTTAATTGTAGATGTTAATTGGGAATATACATAAATAGAAAATCAAGAAAAAAGTAAAGCCTATATTTAACTCATTATCAATTTATTTACAAAACTATCTCTACTTATAAATTGTATTTTAATTGATATATAAACCTAAATAATTTATGTATAGATGTTGCCAAAGGCTTCCTTAAAATAGGTATTATAAATCAATTACGCTAATTTATATACATAAAATTAATTTTCGAGCTTCGATCTAGGAATGCATTGTCCATCGATCTCCCGAATCGAACCCCATAAATCCCCCATAAAGTGTTCAACAGATCCCACTCTAATTCAAGCTATTCCTAAGCTCATCCAGAGGGCCCACTGTAGACAGTTTTCCAAGATAAGCTGGCAAACACAAATACCAAAAAGATGAGGAGAAAAATATGGAGAGGAAAAAAGCGATACGTAGGCTAATTAACACTTTTGGTAAATCAGAATTGATGGCCCTGCTGAAAGGCCACAGATGAGATGATGACGCTGAGACGATGACGATGATTATTCATGGAGCGTTGAGTTTAAATATTGGTTTTGGTTGGGCCGAAAAGGGGGAACCTGGGTTGGGTTACTATCCAGACTACCCGTGGCCACAATTTAAATGTTAACATAAACAAGAGCAATTTAACAAAAGCCCAGGCCGAGACCCAAAAAGGCCAAAATCCAAAAATACAGAGGGAACAGGGGAAGAGAGTCCGCGCCGCACAAAACTGGTAACTGGTGGTAACTGGCAACTGGTAACCCAAAGTGATTTCACGGGTGGTCCGAAAAAGATGCGGCTCAAACAAATCATAAAGGAAAAAATGAGAGGGAAAAACGACCAACAGAAACTAACAACGAAACGCAACATGAAAGAAATTCTTAACTTGCCACATGCATGAATCGATTATGTGGTAAATGCAACTGCCGCCGTGTGCGTGAGTATCTGTGTGGACTCCGGGGCTCCGAAGCTCCAACTGCCGAGCTTGAGCCCAGAGGAGCACACACAACCAAAGTCCCAAATAAAACTAAAGAAACCAAAATGAACAAAAAATAAAAATACAAAAAAAAAAGATGGTCAGGCAGCCGTTTCCCACATTCCTGCTGTGAATCATAATGGCTGCCGCTGTCGTCGTCTTGGTTCTGGCTGGCTCCTCCGGCTGCCCTCTCCGGGCGCTCGAGCACCTCGCACAGATACACACGCGGCTCGGCTCTCTGCGCCAACATCCCATACATATATCATAATCTTAACAACTCTTAACAAGGCAGAACGAATTCCAAAATTCGAGGAGCCGGGCACAAACAGCCAGTCAGGCGGTCGGACGATCCCACAAAATGAAGTGCCGGGTCAGACAGAGAAGGCGAGCTCTTGCTGCTCGGATCTTCAGCTTCATTTTCATCTTCATCTTCAAGTTTAGCTTTAGCTTTTACCAGACCCATGAATGGTGGCTTACTGGCCACGAAAAGATCCGGGATGGACAGTCGTAAACCTTGTAAGCCTTCTAAAACTTCAATCGCATAAGCTTGGTATATTGCTAAACAATTTCTTGTGGGTTAAATGTACTATTTCAGATGAGGGTTCAATAAAAAAAAGCGTCTAAAACTAAGAAAGTTTGTATGTCACTTAAAAGTAATATATATTTTCAGATCCCATTACTAATATACAATTAATAGAGTAAATAAATATGAAAATGAATATTTCTATCACCTAATACATTTTTTCTTCCTATAAACTTTTCTAAATATTCATTTTCCTGAACCTATAGTTTCAAAACTTCTACCAAATATTTCCCTTAAACCCCTAATGTTTTCCAAGCCGCCTTAAAGCACTCCAAAGTGAAATCAAGCATAGACGTTTTAATTTTGCTGGATCTTCTCTGGATTCCTTCCGTATTTTATCCTTGTCAACATTTTGTTGCCATGTCTATTGATGTTGTTATTCGAGTTGCTGCTACTACCACTAACATTTCTGAGAGCCGCCGCCTTCGGTGGTCCATTCCACTCGGCGATCGGGAGCGGCATGTTAATTAATCAGCCAAATAATAATACAGCACCCTCGAAGATGAAGAAACGAGCCGAAACGGAGGCGGAGGCGGAGAGGTACCAAATATTTGCTGGCAATAAATGAGCAGGCCGGGATGGATCATCCTGGGAAGCTGAAGGAGGAGTGGGAGCTGGCTTGTTAGCGGCTTGTTAGGCGGGCTACCAAAAACACGCTAAATAAAACAAAAACAAAAAAAAAAACAACAGGGGGGACTGAGAAAAAAGTGAAATAAAATAATAATAAAAGATGAGGATGCCGCATGGCTGTTGGCCATTTCCTGGAGTCATCACAGAATGTGCAACAAGAAATTGATTTAAACAAAAATCTTATTGCGTGACGCATCCCATGGCCCGGCCACGCCCCTCCACTCGCCCCAACCTGGCCGGCCCTGGTCATTAAAACAAAACGAAAACAAAATCGAAATAAATGCAAGGAAATTGTAACCGGCCGAGGAGTGACCAAGGGGATGGGGACTGGTGGTATGGGGAGGAACCCTACTTTTCTGGGTCTTCATTATCCTGGCCTCGGGCGGTTTTTTGTTCGCCGGACCGCTCCTAATGGCCACCAACAAACAGCAGCCAACAGCTTCATCAAACATAAACAAATACACTGGACATGGTCAGATTTTACCCCACATGCTGCTCTGCAAAAGGGAGACTACTCGCATGCACTGCAGAAAATAAGGAATTTTTTAATCCTATAAAGAGGTTTAAGTTAGTTTTTATCTCTAATATAAGTAAACTAAGTATATTTCTGGGCTTAGATTTAACAAGAAAAAATGTTTACTTCGGTATGGCAAAGATTGTATAGAGAATCGGAATTTTTAGTTTGATATTTTAGAGTTTAAAAACGCCATAACTAAGCAAAAAAATCCTCAAAATCAATTCGGAAAGCGTCTCTGTGCTAGTTATTTCTAGGTTAACAAATCTGCATACTTCATTTAAAATTTTCAGAAATCAACATGTTTTCAATTTTTGAACATTTTAACGATGTAACCCCTTATAAAATTTTGAAAAAAATTTTAAAAATTTTATTTTATTCTAAAATGGCTGAAAACATTCTCCTTTAATTTCTGATCAAGAATATATATGATTTATAGGGTCGGAAATGACTTCTTGACTGCATTTTAAGCTTCAGACTGAAATTATAATACCCTGCAAGGGTATAAAATAAATCTGAATCTTGGTATTTTCATTTACCCAACTTTATTTTAAGTGCACGCTCAATCTGCGGGTCAGGCCAGAGAGGTAAGCCAAGGAAGACGACGACGTTGCCTTTGCTTTACGATCGCGTATCTCAAGTTTATCGCTTCATTTTCCATGTTTTATGCGCAATTTATGCCGCACAGCCTCAGTCGAAGTCGCCCTACCCGTGGCATAACCCCCTAACTGCTCCCTTAACCCATCGCATTCTGGCCAGTTCTGGTGGTGGCCTTATGCTGACGCTGCTCTGGCTGGGACTGGCAATTGCACACGCACCGCTTTGTCTGCCGAAGAAGATGCTCCTCTGGGCCGCGTCTGCGGCATCTGCCTGCCTTGGGAACCAAAGAGGAGCGAGACGCCAGCCCATTCCCATTCTCCTTCCACTTTGGGCCCATGTCCAACCTCCCTGGCCTCCCAGCCTCATTGGGCATAAGTAGTTTTTGCTGCTCCTCGGCTCCGCCGGTTTTATTTCTGCGTGCGGTT